TAATCGTGAGGGGGGGGGGGACGACGTTTTGAGGTGTTGGTTTGGTTTGTGTTGGGTTGACTTGTGTGTTGTTGTCTTGATGTGGTGGTTCAGATGTGTTAGATGTGTTAGATGTGTTGGTTGGATGCGTTCGATACGATGATCAGTTGCGACGTCCTCGGGGTCGAGGAGCTGGCGCAGGCCCAGATGCGGGGCCGTCTTGTAGTTTGCTGGCATCCAAAGCCCGTAGCACACGGCGTCCACGTCCATGGCCGAGTCCGCGGCCCCGCCCCCGGCCGCGCCGACGCGGGATACGGCCCGGCGGCGGCGACGGCAGTTTGCCGCCGGGTGCGATCGGCACAGCGGCCGGCCGGACGGCCCGGCCACGCCTCCGGAGAGGAACAGGCCCGCGGACTGGGCCTAGCTTGACGGCAGCCCGATTTGACTCAATCTTGGGGGCAGCAGTGGTGGTGGCGGCGGCACCCTTGGGCATGAGCTTGCCCTCGAGCACTCGGAGCTCATCGAGGGTTGGCGGCGCGGGCGGCGGCTTATACGCGACTTCCGCCTCGAGGCAGGCCTGCAAGTACGCAACCTCTTGAAGAAGAATGGCGTGCTCCCGTGCCAGCGCCTCAAGCAGCAGCGGCTTGACGGCGTCGACGCGGAGAGCAGTGAGATCGGGCTGCAGTGCCACGACCTCGTCCGCCGACTCTGAGGCCTTGACCGCATGGCGGCCGCCAAGAGCATCCCGCCGAGCGCTCTCGCTGGTCTTGCTCTTTCCAGGGTCGGCAAGCATGGCTCTGATCTCAGCCTCGCGGGCAGAGTCTGGCGGCGGGAGCGCGGCTTGGTCGACGTCGCCGTTGAGCACCGCCCGCAACTGGGCGGCAAGCGAGGCATGGACATGCTTCCGTGGACCCCTCAGCGGAGTCTGCGGACGAGTACGTGGAGTACCACCAGCAGCAAGAGCCTCGTCCTCGGCATAACGTCCCTCGTTGGCCTCCCTCAACATCCGCCACATGTCGCGGAGAGCGTCGAGCTCAGACACCAGTTGCTCATTGGCGCCAAAGATCTCCTCACCCACCACCATGCGGACAATGGGAAGCTCGGCCGGTGGCACCATCTCCTTCAGCACATCGCCAATAGTCTTTCGTACTCCCTCTCCGCCCCTCTTGCTGCCATCGTAGTCCCTGCTGCCAGGTGTGGGCGAGACAAGTGCCGCGCGGTGGTCAAACCCGCGATCGCCGACACGGAGCGATGGACGGGATTGCCCACGACCAGACTCAACTCAGGTGAAACATAAACCCCAGCGGCGAGACCCGGCAAGGTGCATGGGGGGTTGATGGGCAAGCGAGATGATGGATGATCGGTTGACCATCGGCTGCCTTGATGGAGCTGTGTTGAGAAAGGGAGAGGGGGAGGGGGTGGCTTGGCCAGGACTGATGATGGCTGCGATGTAGGGAGCGGGCTCCCTCCTCGTACCGATTGCGTGATGACTGCGATGACACTGCTCTGCAGCTCTGCCACGATCCATCTGTGGCTAGCCGACGACGGCGAGTGGCAAGACAGCCGAGACAGTGACCGAGACTGAGACGGAGACGGCGACAGCGGACTCGGCTCACCACCGCACTCCAACCGCCCTTCTGATGGCGTACACGTTTTCCGGGCCTGAGCCGACCACACCTGTGCGCCGCCGCCGTGCGCGGGACGACTACAATCCCATTTCCGGCACATACATGTATGAGGAGCAGGTATGTTATGTGCGTGTGTGTGTGTGTGTGATGGTGGTGGTAGTGGTGGTGGTAGTGGTGGTGGCCCGCTACGGGGGTCACCTCGCTGTGCAGTCGGTGCTGCCCGGTGGAGAACACTCACTCATTGCGTGTCCATATGGGTGTATACATATGTGTATATGTGTGTGTGTGTATGTGTGTACATGGTGGTATCTCCCTCGCTGTCTCTCTCGTTCGGCAGGAGGCGGCGGCGCGGGCCGAGGAGGAGCGCAAGCGGCGGCTGCGGCACGAGCAGCTTGTGGCTGGCTCGAGCAAGCAGGGCCATCATCCGGCGTACAACCCGCTGACGGCGACGTATGCAGAGGACGATTTGAACAGGTGTGATGAGGAGCAGGCGGCTCTGCGGGAGGCGGCCTTTGCCAAGGCCCATCAGCTGAAGAACAAAGCCGAGCGTCGGGGCTGGGACATTATCTCGGGCGAAGGCGACTCGGGCGACGCGCCCAAGGGCCGCGCCCATCTCCCAGAGCCTCACGCTGAGCGCGGGTACAACATCCTTCGCCCGACTCCGCCGCTGAGCTCCGTCGCCGACGGTCTGCCCGAGTACAAGCGCAAGAACATCGCCCTCAAGTTCTCGTCGGCTGTCCGTCTCGAGGAGAACGACGAGCTCGACTCGGCTGCCCGCCAGGCCATCATCGACGAGACCAACCCGCGCGGCCGCGCCAGTCTTTACGAGAAGGTCAATACCCGCGAGTACAACTTGTTGCAGATCGACGAGTGGGCCGCTGCACCGCCGCCAGCTACTGCCAGCCCAGGCTCGTCGGTTGCAGCTGCGGCCCACTCGGCCCGCCTCAACTACGCCCACAAGAACTCGGCCAACTACGACATCCTGGCCCCGTCGCGCGAGTACGGCGCGAAGTATTGAACTCTCACAGCCAGTCCGCATGCTAGCAGGAGCAAAGTAGGGCGACGACCTCCTTGTGGCCCCGTTCCGTCGCCTTGCGCAGCGGCATGCCCTCGCGCGCTGCAGGATCCACTCGGCTATCGCTCAGAAGCAGGACCACAACTTCGGCGTGTCCATGCTGCGCCGCCCAGCAGATAGGGCTCTGATTGCGGGCAGCGGCGTCGACACGCTCGTCAGCAAGTAAGAAGGCCACAACCTGCGCGTGGCCCTTACCGCAGGCGTAGCAGAGGGCTGCGTTCTCGTTGGCGGCCGGATCAACCCGCGGCGAGTCCGAGGCAAGCACCACTGCCACAATGTCTGCACGCCCAGCAGTGGCAGCCGCCGTCACGACAAGATTGTCATCGACAGCCAAGTCTGTTCTCCGATCGGCGATGAGGAGCCGGACCACGTCAAAGTGGCCCAAGCTCGCCGACCAGCGCAGCGCTGCCGAGTCGTCGGCGCCCGGATCCACGCGCCCGTCGTCCATCAACAGCTTCACCGCACGCACGTTGCCGCGCGTTGCTGCCAACACCAGAGCGGAGCTATCAGAGGCGCAAACATCAATCGGCGGCTCCTGGAGGAGAAGAGTGTGCAGGAGGCGCAGCAAGCCTCGATCAGCAGCAAGGTCGAGCATCACCACCCGCTCATCGTCGTCCACAACCGGGATCAGCGTGATGGCGACGTCCTCCATCTCAAATGCAGCCGTCATGGCTGCAGCACCAACAGTAGCATCCTTAATCTCCCAGTACACACTCCTGCCGGCGCGGATCCCCAGCTCGTCATTCTCAAGCACCGCGGTCTTGATCCCCGCCCTTGCCACCGCCTCCACAATCGCCCGCCACCCATCGTCGTCCGAATCGCCAGAGGCGATCAGAGGCATGATGGCAAGACCAGCCAGCGCATGTCGTGCCTCATTCGTCTCCATTCGACCAAGCGCCACTCGAGCACCTCCCCACGCCCGGCGCGCCATCGCCTCATGAAAGCCGAGTGTGGCCTCGGCAAGGCACCTCCCGTAGCGGGAGCCGAGCAGGGCAGCGTAGAGCCGCTTGCACGAGCAGGCCAAGGCAAAGACCTCATCCGGACTCAGCACCATACTCGTGTATGCTATGATGTGCAAGATCTCTACCGGAAGCTCGTCGAGTGACATTGCCACCGTGTGCGAGGACGGAGACAAGTTGAGCAGCAGCAGCCGTCGTGCGGCTGGCGGACGAGCCGCACTCCATCGAGAGCAGCCACCACGGAGGGGGGGGGAGGGGGGGGGGGGCAAGGACGGGCAAGAGGGAGAGGAAGAGACGGAGAAGCGCACCTCACTCACTCTGTGCTTCAGTCTTTGTAGAGAAAGGGGAATAGCGAGGGAGAACTTGCTCAGGATCAGCCGAAGACTGAAGAGGTTGACGAGGTCAGACTGGTGGACTGTGTGTGGCCATGGCTGCTGACCTTCCCACCAATACGGTGTGGCAGGACAGGGAGATCGAGTTCTCCTTGCCGGTGCAGTACGTGGTGGTGGTGGTGGTGGCGGGGTACGGGGGGGAGGGAGGGGGGGGGGGGGTATGTCGTTACGTCGTAGTTGTAGTGT